AGAGAAATGGAGAAAGATAGAAAAAATGAGAGTGAGGGGGAGAGATGCATGAAAAGAGTGAAGAGAGAGAAAAATGGAAAAAGCGAATAAGAGGGAGAGAGGACAGGCGGGAGGGAGACAAAGAGAGAGAGGAATGCAACGGTATCAACAGGCATAACCGCACACGCAGCCAGGAAAGATTTATTAAATTTCCCGAAGGCTCGGTCACGAGCTGCCAAACTACGCTTAATTATTCGAATTAGCCGCTTCGTCACGTCGACCACGCGCGTGCACCATCTCGCGTGTGTACTCTCACGTGTATGTGTGTGTGTTCGTTTGGACTATTTCTCTATTTCTCTTCGTTTCCCCTCCATCTAGCTTTCAGCTTGTTTTCTCTTTCCTTTCCTCTCTTTTTCTCTCTCTCTACGAAAACGACGACCGCACACAAGAATAAATCATTCCGCGTAATCCAGTAGAGATTCGTTTGCTATCCTGTGACCGTACTGTTTAGCGAACACGACTAGATGTTTTTCCTCGTAGGGAAGTTTCTCACGAAGCGCGCACGCGCGCGTACTACACATACTACTATTCTGTACTACGTTCGTATATGTACATATTATATATATACCAACCATGGCACGAGTTACGCACAGCCACCAACACATACGTACCACCGCCATTACGATATACAAGGTAAGGGAAACGCCAAACATTGCCAATGCCAACGGCATACCCGATGCAGGATAGAACAAACTCGATGGGGTTGGCCCAGCTACCCCGTTCTGGATCCTGCGGCAGCTCCACCAAGGCACCGCCGACCCCGAGAGAAACCCTCTTCGCCTGCCAATAACACGGGTTACGTCATATTTGCATCATATAAATTATCATAGACAGAGGGTGGAGGGAGGGTGGAAAGGGTGTCACAAAGGAAGGACGCTTCGAATTCGAGAATCACCGTGGAGTAGAGGACCGGTACACGGAATCTGAGAGACGGTACACTATGAGGGCAAAAGATAACGGGGAAAGTGGCGAATCGAATTAAATCGAATTGAGTGGCGAATTTTTGTGAAACACTAACGTATGGGGGGTGGTTACGGAAATAACGTTGAAATCAGTTCAAATCTATTGCCAAATTTCGTAGCGAAAGACTCCTTACAAGGGTAGTATGTAAAAGGTGGCTTTCTATGAAAATAAAAAATAGTGTCAAAATGAAATTTTGCGACCCAAAAAACTTCTAACCAGTCTCCGCGAAACTTATCAAAATTATCAGAGAAAGTTATCAACGTTCAAAATCACATTTCAAACAGAAACACCCCTGTATAAGGGTAGTTTTCCATGAAACCAAAAAAAAAAAACCATATCAAAATCAAATTCCGCGACCCAAAAGAACTCCCAAATAATCAGCATTCACGACGAACAACTTATAAACAACCCCACGATTCTCGATCACCCTGTTACAGTTTTTAACTGCTTCGCGTCGCCGCTTGAGGACCACCTTACGGTTTACGTAACAAGATCCGCCGAACGCTCGAATCTAGCGAAGTTATCTGTAAAGTGTAATGGCACGAGAAACGGTAGTTTAATCTATTCGTACGGTGAACAGATAAGATCCGGTGAAACCGCTGTTCTTTTCCGCGCGACGTCAATGCCATTGTTTTGTCAGCGCATCGAAACGCGGCGCGCCGCGATCGCGGCTGTATACGCCCCTCTCCGAACGAGACTGCGTCGCGGTGTTCCCTCGAGTGTGCCGCGTGCACTCTTGCACGAACGTTGTCGCCAACGCGTTTCAAGTGACGAAACTCTCTCTCTCTCTCTCTCTCTCTTTCTCTCTGTGTGCGTGTATATACTCAACGAGGAGGAAAACCGAAGCCTTTTCTCGCGTACCGCTTAATTGAGAACGCGGATAATCACGCGGCGTTGGAAACCGATCGAAATTCTACCACCTTCGGAAACTTCAACTTTACCCCGCGTTTATTCCTCAAATGGAACACCACGTATCGAACTTCCCCGTAGGAAACTCCAATTCAAGTAAACGTTTAATTCACTGTGTTTTCATCCTCACTCTGTCCCTCTCACCAAGGCAATTCTTCTTGGAAGGAGATCTTCGAGACAGCACTGAACACCCGCGTGAACGTACAGTTTTCCCAATTGCTCTGATTTTTTAGGAGATAGGATAGGATTTTATCTCGACCCATTGTGCAGAAGAAGTAACGAATTTCTCGTGTTCACGTTGCATTTGTATCTCTGGTGGACCTGAGAATAGGCTGATCCAGGCTGCTGCACAAGCGCGCTTACCTTTGGTGGATTCTTGTCGGTATTCGTCATGGTAGAGGAGACGTGGATACTGTCGAATGGAATGGTTCACTGTTGAGACGGTAACACGGATTCGATGTCTAGCCTCGTCGTCTTCGACACCGCAATCGCGACCATCTGAGGAGACTCGCGATAGCTAGAGGACTATATAACGATAGATATCGAGATAATCGGTACGGGCCATTATCGAGAGGTGGGCTCCGAAGCCACTTCATAGGAACGTGGCCGCAAGCAAAAGCGACCCGGGCCTTCTGAGACGACGTCGCCACAGTGCTTCCAACTAGTGGAACGATGATCGAGAATCGTGGAGCTATTTTTACATCGTTCGTCGTCATTGCAGGTTATTTAGTTTCTTTTTTTTTTTGGATCGTAGAATCTGATTTTGATATTATTTTTGTAACTACCCTTATACAGGGGTGCTTCACAGCATGTGCCAATTGATATGGAATGTGATTTTGGACGTTGATAATTTTGATAATTTTGATCATTTTCACGGAGGCAGGTTCGAAAATTTCGTTTCGATATTATTTTTTTTTTTTTTTATAGGAAGCTTCCATTGACAATTTTGGTTAGAAGTTCTTTGGGTCGCAGAATCTAATTTTGATATCATTTTTTTTAATGCAACAGAAATCTACCTTTTATAAACTACCCTTATATAGGGTGTTTCACTGGAAGTGAACAAAAATTTGCCATAGGTTTATTTTTACCTTATTCGTCATGAATGCAGGCTATTTAGAAATTTTTTCGAGGAAAAATCTGATTTCGATATTATTTTTTTACCTGCGCTTATGCAGAGGTGTTTCACAAAAATCTGTGAATTTATTTAAAACTCGACTTTAAACGGATAATGTAACATAATTATACCCTCGAAATTGAATAATCAAAGAGATATCGTGAATGAAAGTTTGGGACGACTATCGATGACAAAATACTCTTGCTCTTGACTCAATTTCACTCGAGATAATAGGATATTTAAAGCGAATGGTCAGATATCGAAACGATCGCGCGCGGCGCCCTCGGTAAACCGGAACGACAAAGGTATTCAAGGATGTTCTGCGCTGGCCGTTCCCCATTTCTTCGTAGATTTTTGTGTGATCGTCGATAAATAAACGGTATAGTTAAAAATCTGTTGAACCGCATATGAACAATCGTCGACACGCATACTGAGCATTGTGTGATAAAAGTCAGACGGCAATGTTTGGACAGCTCTCCGTTAGCCGCGATACGATCGATGCGCTGCTGATAAAGCAACGAGGTATAGTTGGTGAAAGCGATACAGCGAGATGGTAAAGGAGGATGTTAAAAAAGTGCCAAATATTTAGATAAATATTAACTTTTCTCTGTAGAACAGCGTTTGAATTTTTTCATTTCATGCATTCATTTCGAAGTTATGATCATTTCAAGTCAAAAAGTTTCAATTCGCCTTTCGAAGTACCGTCAACTTCATCTACATTTTTTATAACTTTTCCATCACATATTGACATAAATAATTGTCCGTTTACGATGCCTTAGGGCTTATAGAATGATGCCTCGTTAAAACTTTATGTGCCTGAAGAGGTACAAATTTGGCACTTTCTTAACATCCTCCTTTGAAGCATTAAGCCTTTAACGCTCATGCTCGTGTCATACACGTGCACAATTGATCCTCGAAAAAGTGCAATTTTGTTTAATTATTTTCTTTCTCTTCTATTGCAAAAATGTAGGTCACAGTTATAAATAAATAAATGGGAAAATATATTAAAATAAATAATGAGTATATTATAATCCCGTTATAAATAAATGAGAAACTTATTTCTGTACGCCTGGAAAATAATTAAAAAAAAAAATAAAATTGATCAGTTTTGGCACATGTGAGCGTTAGGGGGTTAAAGAAAAATTGAATAAAATTTGGAAATTTTTTTAATAATTAAATACCAAATGAAAAGTTTCCATTTTTTCAATGTTGTACGCCACTTGTGAAGCAATTAGTGATTTTACCGGTATAATAATAACGATAATTAACTGGAGAATCATTTTATGCTCGAATTTCAAGGATTAACTGTACGCTGAAAATCTGATAACAGCGTTAATTGAATTGAAAAAGGAATTTAAGCAAAAATTTCACTGAATACAAAATGAAGCAACAGAATATTCTTCGGTGGTATCAAATTCAAGTACTTTCTGCACAAACATTTCTACCATGAATCCCAAATTCTTTCTTTGGATCGGAGTGATACAGAACGCTCAAGATAACGATTTGACAAAAACATCGCAATAAAAGTTCGAACGAAATACTTGATATTTGCATACGTCACACGATTTCCGGTTACTTCTTGATAAACAGTCTGATTAAAGATACGATAATCCGGATGATTTTTATCGTTATATTAATGACGACCATGTCAACAGATAAAACATTATGATTTCAGAGATATTCCAACTAAATAATCCATGAAAGTATCCGAGGCTTATTTCGCTTAATATGTACTTCCAATTGAATCGATTGCCACAAAATTACCTATTATATTTATATCCCGATCAATTAATTACTCTCGTTATTCAATCTAATCGACAATAAAGGATATCGAACCCATTAAATAAATCTACCGGGTGGGACATGTGAAACGCACCACCTAATATTATCTTCTATCTACGGTCGTGCGAGAAAATTTGGATGAAAAATTTAAACAAGAAGAAGATGAAAGAAAAATTTTTTGATAAATTCCATATTTTCTATTTTTTTTATTTCAAGATCACCTATATTTTCTTACATAAATAAATAATAACACAACCTTAAAATAACCTTCAACTCTAAAACTTTTGATTAAATGAAAGCTTCCTTTCGTTTTTTGTTATTGTTTTTATAAAAAGAATTTTTCTTTCATTTTATTCACACTTTGAAACCGCTTGAAGTGTGTGTAAAAATAGCTGTTTTACGTGGCCCACCCTGTACATCGTCAGATATTACCAGAGAAAAGGTAATACAGATACAGCTAAAAATTGGAAAATTGGAACGGTACAATTTTACTGAAAAGAATTGATATTTTGTTGGGAATAATACGTCACGTTACAAACGAACCACAGTTGTTCAATAAGCCTGACTTTGTAACGTCGGAGGACGCGAAATATGTATATAAATCCTTTGAAACGTTTCGTACCAGCCTTAGAAATGTTCTTTTTTTTTTCATTTCCATCAAACTGTTGAAACCTTTCAATATTTCTGCATTATATTAGAAATTCTGACTCTAGGAAGCTTGAAACTTTTTGAAAATTTAACCGTGAATACTTCGATCGTGATTAGAAAAGTGAGGTTATGTAGGAAGTTACATTTTGTAGGTTAGGTTTCATTGTATACGAATTCTATCTGTGTGTTGTTGATCGAAAGAAATTTATGGTGATAAGGAAGAATGGGAAATGTTGGCGGGATTAAAAGAACTTAATTTTAAGATAAAAAATTGAAATGTAGAAAAACATGTTACGAAGAGTAAATTTTCTGTGAAGATAAATATATCCTTTACTGTGGCTTCGAATGAAATAAAATAAAACTTCATACTTAAATCAATTATTGTCATATGCAACAAGTAATTATCACAGCACAAATTAAGTAAGGAGACAAGAAATTTGAAAAACAAAGTCCTCATTTCTCATACAAATTCAATTACTAAACGAGGCAAACCTTATAAAAATAGTACCTAAATAATAACTGAACATAGTGATGAGTAATTTTCATGCATGAATCTGTCAGTCCGGATATTTAAAAAATTAAAAAAATACATATCCTCCACGATTACAAATCGATTCAACAAAATTTCTCAATTTCAAAAATCAAGTAGATTTCAAAATAAAATTTAAATCACATTTCCACAAACAACATTTAAAACTGTACCAAACTATTTCTATCATCTCGATACGAACAGAGAAAAAAATCTAATAAGCCTAAA